ACTGCTCTCACAGCAGCGGTACAGCATATACTCAACAACAATATACAGGCAGCTACCATATACACGGACAGCCTTTCAGCAATAAATGCAATAGAAAATCAACACCATGTATCGCCGAGCATCATTAACTTGCAAGACATCCTGCAGCATAATCGTCACACTAAAATTACCATGGTCTGGGTCAAAGCCCACGATGGCAACCAGGGAAATGAAGCAGCTGACCGTTTGGCTAAGGATGCTGCAAGCAATCTCGAAGCACAAGAAAATAATATTCCTGCCCCACCATCCTATCTAAAGCGTCATTTGCAGGGACAAGCAATACGACAATGGCAAGAAGAATGGACTAATGCGGAAACAGGGAGGCGCACCTATGAGCGTATTTCAAAGGTATCAACTGACCGCCTTATCGCCATTGCTCCTTTGGTAAACTACATAACAGGTCACGGGCCGTTCCCGTCTTATTTTCATCGACATGGGATATCAAATACAGACATCTGTGTCTGTGGAGAAGACGGAACGCCAGACCACTACCTATTCAGGTGCCCTCTGACAGAAATACCATGCATCTTTTCATGCCCACGAGCAACATAACTGCCTACCACCGACTGATAATTAAAGCACAAGGGAAGCATTAATGCAATATGTAAAATTATAAAATTTATCGCGGCACTAGGTCAGGATATCTGCCAGCCCATTTAATCAACATAAGGTTTTCCACTGCATTTATCCAGGAAACTACAATTTACACACGCATACCTTATATCTTATACCTAAACAGAACTTAAACTGGTTTGAGAACTCTTGCACAATAGCAAATATTTAATGAACTTTAACGCTGTCATGTGTCCTTATTAGTTCTATACAAGCACAGTATTATGTGCTTTTGTCAGTATTATAACGACTCTGTAGCATGCCTTCCTATAAGCATCATATCAGCTCTCTGTATCATATTTTTTCTATTAGCACTTATTACTCATATACTATCATATGTATCTTTGTCTACCTTAATATTTATTTGCACAATGTGTTTTATTCGTATTATATCTGCTTTGCTATTAGTATCATATCAGCTCTGCACCATGTATATTTATTGGCATCATATATTTACTTTGTACCAAGTGTATTTACTCGTTCTTCACCTGTACTGCATCTACTCAGCACCATGTCATTTAATTAGCTCTATATTTGTTCTGCATCATGTATATTCATTAGTATCATATCTGTCCTGCATCAAATGATTTTAATCGTACTATACCTGATTTGTATCATATGCTCCTATTTGTATTATATCTGCTTTGCATCATGAGTTTCTATTAGTATAACATATGCCCTGTACCATGTGTATCATATTCATGCTTGCATCATGTGTTTCTCATTAGTATTATCTCTGTCCTGCATCATGTGCTTTTAAATAGCATCATCTCTGCCCAAAGTCATGTGTTTTTATCAGTATTATAGTTGTCCTGAATCATGTCTTTTATTTAGCTCTATATTTGCTCTTCATAATGTGTATATACTATTAACATATTTGCTCTGCATCATGTACTCCTATCATGTGTTAGCCTAGGTTCATTGTCTCCCCATAAGTATTATTACTCATATACTACCATCTGTTTCATATGTAAACCAAAAGTTCATTGCTAATAATTATTTGCAACTTATGTTATTATCTGTCTTAAAACTGCCCTGCATCATGTGTTTTAATTAGTATACGCGCGTGCTTTATATCTGGCAATGTTACACGCGTGCTTTATATCTGGCAATGTTACACGCGTGCTTTTTATCTGGCATGCACCATGTGTTTTCACTAGTATCGCAGCTTTATCTCTGCTCTGCATCCTGTGATCTTACCAGTTTTATTACACGTTTTTATATGTCACATAGTATTACATCTGCCCAGCATTATATGTTCTAACAGCATCACATGAATGCATTATTAGTACTCTACTTAGTAGTCTGTGAGTATGTTCTGTGTATTTTAAGTGTGTTGTTATGTGTATTATGTCTTACATTATTATGCCACCTCCACCCCCCCCCCTTTTTTTTTTTTTTTTTTTTTTTTTTTTTTAGATTTTCTGTAACCACTGTAATCCTAAAACTTTCAAATGTCATACACATCACTTGTAATGTAGACTATGTCAACCGCCCTTGTATGGCCATGTAACTTTCTCATTAAGATTCAAATATACTCCCGAGGCAGCCTGATGAGGCTCCAGGGAAGTTGCCACTAGATAGTGGAGGACGCGGGGCATATGCCTGTTTACCTATGTTAAACATCAGGCGCCCTCGTCCTCCGTCACCTGTCACCTGTCTGCATCCCCATTCTTTATTTTTTGAATTAAAGTCTCCAGCAACGATAAACTGATGATTGTCAGGGCAAATACTTTTCAGTATATCTTCATTAAGCTCAACATAGGGTGGGTTGTAAAAAGTACTAAAATAAACAGTCCCTATGTAAGGTAGTAAAATATTGAAACTGTGACCATTTCATTTGTGGAGTTTCTTTTATCGGAAATAAAACAAGATTGCAGGGAGTTTCGTACATAAATTGCGATTCTCCTCCACCTCTTTGACTCAAGCGATCACATCTATATGTGCGATAATTATTAATATTTATGTTCTTACACGGGAGTGGCGTAAGTCTCAGAAATTAAAGCGATGTCAATCTCATGAGTAGTGAGGAAATTGTGTAGTTCCGTGATTTTATTAAGAATGCTGTGAGCATTCCAAAAAACTGCTCGAATGGGGGCCTTATTAATGTTGTGATTGGCCATTATGGTCTCCGGATTGATGAGTTTCTTGAATTACTGCTTTGGTCTGTTGAATTTGCTGTGAAAGCAAAAAGCCTGAGCTTTTAATTACATTAACAAGTTCAGCCAAGTCGGCGAACACCTTTTTCGCTTCAGTTCACGTGTTAGTGTGATCGTGTCAGAATATATTCCAGTAGAAAGAGCTTGTGCGTAACTTTTGCTTTCCACTACTCTGCTTGTGTAGGCTTTGACTTTCTCTTGTTTTTTCTTAGGGAATTTGTCACATCCTCGAAAATTCGATGTATGTTCCTGAAGGCAATTTGCACATTTCGGTGGTTTTTCTTTATTTTTATTGGGGCAAAGATATGATAAATGTTCTTCAGCGCACCGAACACATTTGGGCGTAAAGTAACATCCTGCTTGGGTGTGGTGGAACCCCTGACAACGGTAACATTGTAGGGGCCCAGCTCTACCTTTATAATCTTCAATTCTTACTCTAAGCCCGCATAGGTTAGTGATGTTTATGTATTTCTTTTCTTTCGATTTATCCTTTCTGGGTAGTGAAACAAGGAATAGAGGCAATTTAATTAACCTCTCCATTTCTCCTGCTAGTCATTTGTTTGATAGAACTAACGACTAAATTTTTTTAATTTTAATTCCTCATTAATTTCCTTGATTTCTGTATCATGAAGTAGTCCCCTTAATGACCTACCTTTAATATCTTTATCTGTGGCAAGATAAATGAGTGATGTGTTCAATTTTTGCGGGCTTGAAGCAGCTTAACTATCACCCTGTAGTCTTCGTCATCTTTAGTCATAATTCTAATATGCCTTTAGGAGGTTTGACGGCTATCGACTTCAATATTACGCTCTTGAAAGGTTTTCCGGATATTATTCCAGACCTTGTTAGTCACTTTAATGGTAACAGGTGGAATTTTATATTTTCTGACAAAGTTTGTGTCAGTTATCTCATTTTCGTCTTTATTTTGTGGGTTTGTTTCGGTTTGAGAGTGTTCCGTTTCCGGAGCAGTGGTATCCATTGTATCATTTTCGGTTTCAGCAGTAGTGGGTAATCCTTGTTTGTGTTTATTATATTGTGTTAACTCATGTTGTTTATCTTTTGATTGTGTGTCATCATTAGATTTCTTATCGATAATATCAGAGTTAATGTGCCTAGTGGCACGTGGTAAGTCATTCGGCATATCTTGTTTTTGCTTTTTCGCCGGCGGTTTTGCCGATCTGGTACGTACTGTCTGGTCGCCTCTTCGTTTAGTATAAAATTCTTCGTCAGAACTAGTTTCCTGATCGAGTGTAATTTCTTTTTCGGTGTTTGTTCGGTCATTATCATTAAATGTTAGTGGACTGCGTGAACGTTCGTTGTCGCTAATTTTATCAGCTTCGTCAGTTTTTTGTGTATGTTTCGTTTTATTAGTATTACTATTTTTGTCAGCTAAGTATGCGTTGATGCATGTAAGCATGTGCACATAGAATTTGTAGTCACGTTCTTGTTCGCAAGTAAGCGCACCATCATCGCAACGCTTATGTTCTAGCTCTTCAATGAGCTGCTCAAAAACAAGGCTAATTCTGTCCATGATCGGTCCGAAAAATCCAAAATCCAAAAAATCGCAGCGCCCAAAGAACGCAGAAAAAAACCCGCGCCCTGGAACCGGGCCCGCTCGACGGCGTCTCGGCAGACAGATGGGCGGGTGGAAACTCACAAGGCTCCTGACAATCACTTGACAGTGAGAGCTAGGGAGTAACTATGTGAGTTGAAAATCCAGCGTAAGACACTAGCAATTTAAAATAAAGTACAGCAAACTAATTAATTACCATCCAGTAACACTCAGCAATTAGGCGTGATAGCAAGAATATGGCAAGATAAGCAAGGCATAATCATAATCCGAATAACCGTCACTGCGTTAGCACGTGTCCGTGCTCATCGAAGCGTGAAAACGGCGATTTGGATTTGGCGGAACTCCCCACGATTACGTCCTTCGCAAGCGAAGGCAACCCTGAGAATGTGTCATATGACTCTTACGTAATTCTGGTTATATAAATTGAACTGAAACTCAAGCAGCCAATAATAATTTTACAACAATATTAACCATCCAATCAAAATGCATTGAGAACCAAAACTAACTCAGTCTGAATGAAGATTTCATTTTGGACATAACACACTTGCTTTCACTGCTTTGGCTTAGCTGGACTGCTGTCTGTCTGCTCCTCCTTTTTTACTGTAAATCTATCAAAAATGTAAGCTTTTTGGAAATAGGCACAATAAAGGTGAGAACTTGTTTGTGGCCACAACATGTTTACTGAAATAAAAGTTAAATTAAATATATCTTGACATCGCTCAAGAATAATTTTATGTATCCTTGTTTTCCCCAAACAGCGAAGATTTATAGTTGATGATATGAATTAGCAATCATTCAAGTTCAATAAATAATTTGAGTGATAATGATTCTAAGCAAGGCAATTTTAACGGAAACCATTAACAGAAACGATGAATTTAATTTAAAGCCTCCATCGTAGTCTTCATTTGAATATTCATCGATAACTTAATTCCTACATAACTGATCTATCTCCTTTTTGTCTTCAGGTTCTTATTTTGGATAAGAAAAGAACACCTCTCTGTGGAGGGATGCTGCTGTCCAACCAGTGGATTCTTACCGCTGCTCACTGTCTACGCAAGCGATTGTACGTTCGAGCAGGAGAACATGATCTCACAGAGGTGGAAGACACAGAGCAGCAGGAAAGAGTAGCCATGATGTTTGAGCACCCCAATTATGATCCGGTGACCGTCGAAAGTGATATAGCACTTCTCAAAATGAGAATTCCTTTTGAATTGAGCCCGGATGTACAACCCATCTGTCTTCCTCACGAGGAGGATGAACTCCCATTCTATGCCAGGGCGACCATTGTGGGTAAGACATTCCTTGGTTCTAAAAAATTTAGATTTAAGAGCGACACGTAGGAATAGATCTTTGGCAATGTAGGACTATTGTTAGAACTGACTGTAACAACAAGGATGTCCTCTGGTGAGTAGCCAGAGAAGGACTTCAGTAAAAGCCAAGCGTTTAAAATGATAGGTTGTTTCAGACTCTTGCTCTGTAATTTTCTTAAAGTTAAATGTAATGTCCGCGTGTAGCTTAAACCTGTTAATACGTAAATCAGGGGCGTAGGTAGAGGGGGGCAAGGGGGCATCTGTCTCCGGGCGTGGAATCCGAGGGGCGCCAAACTGATGTTACGACAATTTAGAATTAAATGTTTTCCATCCTTGGCAAGTAGTAGGGGGCGCAAAATCTTCAGTTGTCCCTGGGCGCTGGAAACCCTAGCTACGACTCTGACACGCTAAAGGACTCTTATATGACTCTATCCAACACGACGCGCTTATAAAGGCGATTAATAGTTTGTTTGTATTTTTTAATCATTCTTTAATTTAATTGGTTACACCAATTATTAAATTTAAGAACAACAGATGAGTTTACATATCAGGCTTAACAAAAAAAAATTTTTTTTCCTCCACTAGTTTACAAACTCAGTTGATTGGCCTTAAGTTTTTTTTCCTCAGTTCATTATGAATTAAACTTTTAATTAAATCCTTTGCAGCTTTAGTAGAGAAATTTATGAACTAAGTGTTAATTTTTTCCCTTCAATTACTTTTTTAAAAGCAACTGTGTGTGTGTGTGTGCAAGAAAAATAAAAAGTATGTAAAAGTTTAATTGTAGTTTAAATTAGCAGAGTAAATTAATTTCCCCTCCGTTTCCTAAAATACCAATCTCTCTTCTCGTCCATTCAAGACTAATCCATGTCATATGACTCTTAAATAACACTAATAATGTTGTAGAGTAGAGACATTAGGTTATTCAAAAGCAACTATGTGTGTGTGTGTGCAAGAAAAATAAAAGGTATGTAAAAGATAAATTATAGTTTAAATTAGCAGCGTAAATTAATTCTCCCTCCGTTTCCTAAAATACCAATCTCTCTTCTCGTCCATTCAAGAGTAATCCATGTCATATGACTCTTAAATAACTCTTATAACGTTGTAGAGTAGAGACATTAGGTTATTTGGATAACTCAAAATAACTCTTATAATGTTGTAGAGTAGAGACATTAGGTTATGCAAAAGCAACGATATGCGTGTGTGTGTGTGTAAGAAAAATAAAAAGTATGTAAAAGATAAATTGTAGTTTAAATTAGCAGCGTAAATTAATTTCCCCTCCGTTTCCTAAAATACCAACCTCTCTTCTCGTCCACTCAAGACTAATCCGTGTCATATGACTCTTAAATAACACTAATAATGTTGTAGAGTAGAGACATTAGGTTATTTGGATAACTCAAAATAACTCTTATAATTTTGTAGAGTAGAGACATTAGGTTATTCAAAAGCAACTATGTGTGTGTGTGTGTGTAAGAAAAATAAAAAGTATGTAAAAGATAAATTGTAGTTTAAATTAGCAGCGTAAATTAATTTCCCCTCCGTTTCCTAAAATACCAACCTCTCTTCTCGTCATTTCAAGACTAATCCATGTCATATGTCTCTTAAATAACTCTTATAATGTTGTAGAGTAGAGGCATTAGGTTATTTAGAAGCAGAAGACATGAAAAATGAACAATGCCCCATGAAGGCATTCTAAGAAATCGGGAGAAATACCCAATATACTCACCCATTAAAGGGAGACTGGGGATTAGGGGACCCAATCGCAGAAAATAGGTGGGGGATAATCATCATCCACCACCTTTTTTTTTAGTTCGGGCGCCACTGTAGAGGCATTAGGTTATTTGGGAGCACTAGACATGAAAAATGAGCAATGCCCTGGCGGAGACTCGAACGTCGGTCCTCACGAATACGCACCGAGCGTGCTGACCATTACACCACAAAGGCACGTTAAGAAGGCGGGAGAGATACCCATAATTACATTAGATCTAAAACCCAAACAGCCAATAATGATTTTACAGCAGTAATTAATTATCAAATCAAAATGCAATTTATAATGGTGATGATGTAGAAATGTTGGAAAAGTGATGTTGATCCTTAATAATAACAGACTTGGCAGCCGAAGAAGGGTAAATATTTATATTTATTTCAGTTGATATTTGTGGTCACAATTCACTAGGCATTCTAATCTGGCCTATTCAAGAACATTTACATTGCCATCTTAGTCAGGAAACTGAACATTGATATGACGACCTGGGAAAAGAACTAAAGAAACAGGAAAACTTATGGCAACACAAAGCGCTTCTACGTGAATTCTAAACGTATGCCGCGATGCTGCTTTAAACATTTTTGCAATTTTGCTGTTGAATGGTATATGGCAAAAGTGCGGAGAAAATAATGCTTAATAAGAAACAATAAAGCTAAAAAGACAAAAGAGTGCAAGCACTTAGATATAACTTAACAAACCCTTTTGGGCGACCATTCAGATTTTTGTTTCATATTTTACGCAAATTTATTATTATTATTTATTTATTTTTATTAATTAATTTATTTTTTGTAGGATGGGGCACACGTACAAGTGAATCCGTTTATGTCGAGAATGTCCTTCTTGAAACAAATGTGCCAATAATTCCACCTAAAGAATGTCGGAACGCCTACAAAGATGTCTTCATCAGCGATCACATGATTTGCGCTGGCTTCGCCGGTGGGAGGGTTGATTCTTGCCGAGGGGACAGTGGGGGTCCCCTCATGCACACGCAGAAAGATGGCACATGGGCAGCATATGGAGTGACGAGTTTCGGAGAAGGATGTGGAGAGAAAGGAAAATTCGGTGTGTATGCCAATGTAGTCAGCCATCTATCCTGGATCAAGAGTGTCATCAAAAATTACAACTGATTAAAAAAAATATAGCTGATGGTAAATTTTTTAACAGTGTACAGTTCTTTGAAGAAAAATTCAATGTAGTATACTTTGATATATTTATTTAATTTTAATTTTGATTTTTTATTACGTCACACCGACAATATGATGCAAAAACTTTTCACGTTAAAAAAATTACTTGAAGCTGAAATGTAATAAATTTGTAAAATAAAAAATAACATTTGTAGAGTCATTTAGAATTTTTTATGTTAGAATACTGAAAAAATCCACAATACACTCATTGGAATTCGAACAACAGACCTCCTAAATTCGCGTGCTTTTATTCACAGCACGAAGGCATGCAGAGAGGATGTAGAAAATACCTTATATACTCCCACTTTTAAAAGGCGATTGTGGATTAGGGGACCCTGTCGCCAAATCCTGGGGGGTCACAAATTATCGTTTTCCACTTTTTAGTTCAGGCGTCACTTGTGGAGTCATTTAGAACTTTTTTATGTCATAACACTGAAAAAAAAATCTTCAATGCCCTCGCCGGAATTCGAACTTCGAACTTCTCAAATACGCGTCGAGGGTGTTTCCAGTTACACCATGGTGCAATGCGGAAAGGAAGAAAGAAATACCTTGTACATTGTAACGTTCGAGTTACGAAAATGCTTTATGCATTCAAATGCTCAAGCTACGAAAATATTTTATACATTGTAATGTTCAAGCTATGAAAATACTTCTTACATTGTAATGTCAAGTCAAGCTACGAAAATACATTATGCATTGTAATGTTCAAGCTACGAAAATACTTTATACATTGTAAAGTTCAAGCTATGTGTTGATCAAGCTACGAAATGTATTGTCTGCAGCACTGTCTGGTAAGCGAAAGAAGTTAAATTCGAGAAAAAGTCAGATTCAAATTCGAGATGTGTATAAATATAACCAAACATTAAGAATATGTGAATTAATTATGATGACAACGAATCATTAATCATAGTTAAACAGATGAGAGAGTAATTTATCACTATTTAAAGGTTACTAGCGGGCCAGATGAAGGGGATACGTCAAAAGCAATATTTATAAGTTCTATGTACTGAAAAACTGAAAATAAAATGAATTATTAATTTAATATACTGCATACAAAGTTGCTAGCTGCAACCAGAGCAAAATTTATGAGTTAAGGACGGACGCCTGAAAAGAAAATGCATAAAAACTTTTCAGTCTGAATGAAGTCAGTTTATTCTTTCCAAGCAACAACTAACTCGTAAATCATATTTTTTGTTGCCAAACCAGGAAACAGAAACTTTGGACACTTTAGGTTAATAAGCATACGTATGACGTCATGATTTAAATTTAACGTAATATAACAACTTTTTCTCAATATCAATAAAAGAATTAACGTGGCACTAATATACCGTGTCAATTATTGTAATCTGAAAGAAGAATGTTGCCAACAACAACTGTTTATTTAAAATGTTGACATAAACGAAATATTTTCGACATTCAGTGACGTCACATGCAATCGCGTGCTTTCTCCAACGTCAAAACATGATTTTATATTATAACAATAAATATATTATAACAATAATATATTTAAAGTTTGGCAATATTATTTTTATTTAATATTCTGTAAAACTTACAAATTTTGATTAAGAAACTCTACCATTTGAAAGCGAACAGTGGCAACACTTTCCAAATAAAGCTGATTTTTATCTCCAGCCAGCGAGAGATTGTTGCCACTCGGAAGAATGAGGGCAAAAATGAGCGTTTTCGGAGTTTTTAATCAATATCTCGGCTGATTAAAGTCGTACGAAGACGAGAATGGTGAATAGGCTTCCCACGAATTTTCCAAAAATTTTTTAAACTTGGAATAATATATTTAATGTTTGACAATGCCACTTTTATTTAATAATTTGTAAAACTACGAAATTTTTTATTTAGAAAGTTTTGAACGCGAGCAGTGGCAACAAATTTCGAAATAAAAGCAAATTGTTATCTCCAACGAGCGAGACTGTTGCCACTTGGAAAAATGAGGGAAAAAATTAGCGTTTTCGGAGTTTTTAATTAATATCTCAGCTAATTAAAATCGTACGAAGATGTGAATGGTCGGAATGGCTTCCCATGAATTTTTGGAATCCGGGTGGGGGGAGTACCTCTCTCGAATCTCAACTCCCCGCCGTGCCGGAGAAGATGATGGCACAGACAGACAGACGAGCGCAGATTTTAATAGTATAGATTTGTAAACATTTTGAATTAAATCATAAACAATGAGCTTGAACTAATTTATTTGTCCCTAAGCTGCTTCAATTTAATCTTAAAAAAAATTGTAAGATATTTGCTTATTTTCCACTGGACTTCAAAATGGATTAAACAGCAACAAATTTCTTTCCTAGATATATGTAGGTAACAAACTAATTAGAATGAAAGATAATTCCTCTCTGAAACTTGAATTATACTTGTAAAATTGCTTCCATGTTACTCACAAAACTGTTCTGAAAGCCCATTTAAACTTAAATAACTATCATGACTTCAGGAAATTCATTCAAAATAAGATGCATTGAAACCGGATATCTGGATGCACTTTCTTTAGTCTGACAGAAAATACCTCGAAACCAACCAAACAAGAAATGATAAAATATTTTCCGTGAGCTGCAAGAATTCAAGTGGTATAGGTAACCAACGATTGCAGGTCAGTGAAAGGTCTATTCTGTGTCTGGGGTTCAACAGGCTGATAAGGTTTGATTCATGCAATTACGGCAAAGTTTCGAGAGCTATCTGCTTAAGGGGAGGGGTGTCTTCGTGGAGGACTTTCTAACAGAACCTGTCTCATATATACGTTACACATGGGAAAAATACTCAGCAGCCCGCTCGAGAGATTTAACCCTTTCCGGTACGATACCTTTTAAAGTTGGAGTTTTGATAAAAAAAAAAAAAAAAGGTAGGCAATCTAATTAGGCCTAGAGGAGTATACAAGTAAACTTTTATGAAGATAGCACTTATCGTTTTAAATCTGTGGGTGTGCCCAAAGTGGGCACACTGATTGAATAGAACTTCGAAAAGAGTGCTGAAACGAGCATTGACGTCAATGAACTGACCGATGAGATGCAGAAAAACAGTTGTCCTAGATTATCGGTGATCCCGCTCTGGGCACACCTAGGGTTCGCCGTTTGATTTTAGGCAAGATTTCAAGATAAAAATTTAAAACTGATATAGAATAAGAAGATTAGCACACAGCCGAAAAATAACATAGAAATTTCTTTTCAAACAATTCCTTTTATATCCTAAAAAAAATCTGGAAGATTTCTTTGAAAAATGAGGGTCTTAAAAAACTAAACATGGCTAAAATATATGGACTGGTTTGTGTTGAGCTGCCATCTACTATAAATAAAGAAGGTTCAGAGTAACCTATAAATCCTTTTTCATTCAATTTTTCTGTGCGTACAGAAGGAAACTTTTAGGTGTGTCCAGAGCGGACACACTGTGCCGCAAAGGGTTAAACCTCGGACGAACTACCAGTGTTCGGCGACTTTACTGCTCGGCCGCTGATTCCCCCCACGGGCTGTTAAATAAGGTATCTTGAATTAACATTTAAAGATAAGATCTGGAATAATAAAACTTATATATTATATGTAAGTTATGTTTGCGTAAAATTATCTTCGCAATTTTTTGTTTTATTCCTTGTACGAAGCAAAGGAAGTATTGAAATCGAGAGAAATTTCGGGTAGCCCAGTTCAAAGAAAATATCCATTTTGACAGCTATCGAACCAATTTGAACGACGTTTCTGCGAGACATCTGTACGTATGGACAGTATCAACAACTTTTTTTTTCTAAAACGGACTGCAAAATGGATTTTAAATGGATTCATCCATTTTTTCGTGATTCGGTACGTTTGAAGAGATTATTTTTGACGTCTGTACGTACGTATGTTTCTCGCATAACTCAAAAATGAGACGTCATAGAACGTTGAAATTTTGTATATGGGACTGCTATAACATGTATTTGTGTTCCTCCCTTTTTCGTCCAAAGCGGCAGCACGAAAACATATACAAATTTATATATATATATATATACTGGTCGTCAAAATTAAAGGATAAAGAGAGAAAAATATGCTAAGTTAATGCTGCAACCACTGGTCAATGTTGTAATTAGTTATGTTAATTAAATACAATTGAACTCAAAATTACACTTCCGCGCATGTGTTAACGCCAGAAATGCGCAAATTCGACGATTAACAATGTGATGTGGAATGGAAATATGTCGTAATTCCGGTGTCTCCAAAGAAATGAACTCGAGGTCATCCAAAGAGTTTTGAAGTGACCTAGACAGATTGAAATCCAAGCAAGGTCTGGTGAATGTGGAGAAAAGGACACAGAACATCACAGTCGTATTCAACAAATCGTTTTCTAACATTCATCAAAAGGTGGCGTGCAGCATTGCCATGATGGAAGACAACAAATCGACAAGTGAGCGCTCTTCTTCAATTTCTGTTTTTGAAATTGCCATGTGGAAACGGTATTTTTCTAAATTTATAGTTTCATTTGGTGACAACAGTATGTAATTCCTTAGTAGTCTGACCGTACAAAAGCCCCTCTCGATGTTACTAAAGGAGGGTCTTTTGGCTTACTCCCTGTCCTTTTCGTTGTAGCATTACAGCACAGTATTCACTTATCAATTTTAGCAATGATCCTTTCCAAAGAGAAGGAGCTTTATTTTTCTTTCAACAAATAATAACATGCGGAAACTCGAGCAAGCAACTTCTCCTCTTCATAGGTACCCATACACTGAAGCAGCTTGCATACCAAATCTTCAAATGGTCAGGTATTGTATTTTTTAAAATATTTAGATTGCCTGATAGTTCCTGAACTATATAGAGTGGATTTTTAGCAGTAGTTCCTTTAATTGGCCTTTGTTTACATAGGATGGTCGTTCAGAGCGGGCATAAATCTTCGAGGCTGGAATTTCCTTTCTTACCGCTTAACGACCACGCCCAAGATATCTCGGGAATTAATATGTTTCTCGCACTGTCAAAAACAATGGCAAATAGAGGTATCCAATTTTGAATAACGTACTTCTCCATTCGAATATAGACATCTGGAATCTAGAATTTGTTTGATTATCTATTTCATATTTTGTCCAACATTAAAAGAACTTTTGAATAACAACTCAACCATTTCAAAGAGAGGAAATGGCAACACTGTACAAAAAAAAAGGTGGGGGGAGAAAGAAAAAACAATGATTTCAAAGAGAGATATGGCAACATTTTGCGGGGAAAAAACATTTTTATCTCCAGTGCGCGAGCCTGTCTATCGGAAATTCTAAGGATACGCTGTGTTTTTAAATATTTTTAAACGAAAAGAGCTTTAGCCCAAGTGTTCTCGAAACGTGTACGTGTACGTAAATGAAAAAACGCCCCTCTGTGCGTAATATAAAATCTGAATCTTTCAATTTTTTTTTTAAACTCCAATTTTAATTTCTTGTGTTTCATAAAGTATGCTACGAGGCTTACACGAGTAAGTTATAGGATTAAGAAAATAAATAAATATACAAAAGCACTGAAGATCAGGAAAAATTATTAAAAAAAAACCATACATAAATAAAAAAAAAAACTGTAAACGTTTTCAGATTTTATA